TGGAAAATGCTAAATTCCACAAAAATCATAATATAGGTGTCTGGGCTCAACTAAGAGGTCTCGAGGACTACTTTCAAACTATATACACCTTATATTCCCAATGAGTTCAGATAATCAAATTTTCCGATTTTCTAAACAAAATTGGGTAGGGAAACTGCATGGCAAATGCTGAATTGAGCAAAAACCATGATAGTCGAATTTACCGATTTTCTAACTAACGTGGGGTTGGCGGTAGGTAAACTGCATGGAAAACGTTGAAATGCACAAAAACCATAGTAGCTGTGTCTGGGCTCAAATGAAAGGTCTCGAGGACTTATTTTAAAATAACTACTGGGGAGAATATGCCACACAAATAACAAGGGAACTGATGAGGATTGGTGACTCTTTTCGAAAACTAGATATTTCCTGCCTTACCCCCTGGTAAACTTTCTCCACTAATAAACAAACGTTTTTTATAAAAATAATAATAATTTGATTTAGTCTGATTATTTTGCAACAACAAAATATGGTAATTTTCTGTTGAGGCATTCGGTTGAAAATTTTGTAGATTGTTTGTATTTGTACCGTTCTTTTTGTTGTTCTGACTGCAATGACATTGGTAACTCTTAGTTGAGGACGTTGGTTTAAAATGTCATATATTGTTTATTTCCATGGGATCTACTAGTTGGGGTTGATTATATTTGTGTATATTACGGTGTTGGTATTGTTCATGACTTTGATTGTAATTTTTGCCATTGCGGTGATGATTTTGGTGGTCATTATCAAATAACAAACCAATCTTCATACACGAAACAACCGAAAACACTAACAATATGTTGAAAACAAACCACAAAATTCCGCCAATTTTATAAGCTTCTATGAAAACACACAGCGCCAACTTTCACATGAAACTACTCAAATTTCTAATACAACACAAAGAACTGCACAAATATAAAATGGCAATTACAACAAGTAAAAAAGCTGTAAGTTCGTAAGTACTTTGAATACCCTCCACCATTTGGTGGTTTCAAAGAAATAATTTTAACGTATTAAAAATTCTGTTAAAACGATGACGTGGTCCTGCATAGGCAACTTTAGTCATAAGCAATATACAAATGCGAAACTTGAAAAAAATCGGTGAATCATCAATATAGGGAGGTGCTATTAAATTGGGGGCTATACCAAAATCTGAACCTGCACAGACACTTTTCTGTCATTGGCTTTAGTATCCTTTTTGAACTTCAAATCCCAAATTTGAAACAATTCCGGTGAATAATGTCGCTAAAATCATCAAAGCGCTGAATATCGGGAGGTACTGTTATATGGGGTCTATACGAAGACGTGGACCTGCCTGTCATATGCTGTAGTATCCATTACGAACCAATTCCGACGATTAATGTCGCTAAAATCAACAAAATACGAAATATAGGGAGGTACCGTTATATGGGGGCTACACGAAGACGTTTAGTATAGAGGGTATATTAAGTTCGTCATTCGGTTTGTAACTCACCGAAATAATAATTTTACACCCAACAAAATATATATTCTTGATCAGCGTAAAATTCTAAAACGATTTAGCCCTGTCAGAATAGAGAAAAAAATTAACCTTATACAAGGTTAGCTTAACCATAAATAAACATGATTTGGAGTCTACGTTATGTAAGGTTAATTTAAACATTTTCTTGTTGACTGGTATGTAAACATAATCGTCGTTAATTTTACTATTCCATGATTGACTTTTTTAACCACGAAAATTTTTGATTTAAAAAAAATGTTGTTTTAACAATGCAATGTTAAATTTGTGTAACCATGAGAATTGGTAATAATAAAATTTCATAGTCAGTTTGTTTAAACAGTTTAAGTTTAATTTGACAATAAAAAGTTAACGCTATTAACTATAAAGATTGTTATTTATACATTTTTATACCCTCCACTATACTATGGAGGGTATATTAACTTTGTCATTCCGTTTGTAACTCCTCGAAATACTCATGTCAGACCCAACAAAGTATATATATTTTTGTTCAGCGTGAAATTCTAAGTCGATTTAGCGATGTCCGTCTGGAGGGTATTAAAAGTTTAGCCCGGCCGAACTTACCTGCTTTTTTACTTGTTTCTTTCCTCAATGGTGGAGGGCATTAAAAGTTCGACCCGGCCGAACTTAATGTTTTTTAATTATTTCAGATATGGCTGCTTACTTGTCCAACCAGGATTTCCGCTTAGACGAACGGTAGCCCCAACTTACCAGCGCGTCCAACAGCAAGTAATGCGAGTAGACCTGTGCCCATAGATACCACATAAGTTTAAGTTCCTCATCCTATGATCGACGAAAGAGATGCAGGTACCAATAACGATATCCAGACCAATGACGATATGGAGTGGTAGAGCATCTTGCAGGCCTTAATAAGCTAGTCTGCGAGGATGTAAATAATATCCTATGCAACGTTCCTTCGCTTTGGACTGCAATCGCGGAGTTATAAAGAGGGGCGCTTTACTACATTCACTGCATCGCCCCGCCGCATAAACACTAAATGTCTTAATGTAAATGAATTGATAATAGACGACCTCTTCAGACGCATATACTCGAATTTAACAAGATGCTTCATTAATTAAGCCCTAGCCAATCCAGACCCCTGAGGAAATAATCCTATCGATGTATTACTGGGAGCCGGAAGGACAGGTGTAGGAATTGGCGATGTCTTGACCTAAAATATACAACTGGGTCACGTGTTTCCTGTAACAATCAAAAAAATGCAAAGCTTATGGAAGGAGGTATCTTGTGGTACCGTCGGCCGCATAAACAACACAAAACATATTATATTAAAAAGCACAGATACATACGCATGTATGCACCTCCAAATTCAAATACTGAATTCCAATAATTAGCCAAAACTAGTTTATTGTGACTATGCAAATTGGTCATTAGTTAGCTCAAATCGAATTATAACCGCGATCATAAGTTTCCCAACTTTTTTAAATTTCGGTATTTACAAATTGTAACGGTTTCCACCCCATGCGAGTGTAGAGTTCCTTCTTCTTTTGTGACAGAAGACTGCTGGATTAAGCTCACTATTTCTTATCACTCGTAGGTCGGTACATCCGAATATTTGGTATTTTGATGTTTTTAATCGCATTTTAAGCATCACCGATTTCAATTACAAAAAGTAAAAAAGCAGTAAGTTCTTCGTATAGACCCCCATACATATACCTACATTCAGTATTCTGATGATATTAGCGACTCTATTCACCGGAATTGTTTCAAATTCCGTATTTAGTGTTCGTTATGGCTTCTACAGCCTATCGCCGAAAATTGCATATGCATACATGTACCTCCACATATTCGGTATTTTGATTATTTTATCGACATTATTCACCCGTATTGTATCAAATTTTGTGTTTGTAGTTCCAAACGGGTCCCCGTATATTCGGTATTATGATGATTTTAGCGACATTATTAAACCGAATGATGAAATTTGCATTTACAGGCCCTCGTCTTCGTATACCCCTAACAAGACAGTAACTCCCGATATTCGTTACCCCATTACGAACTAAAAATACCAATTTTTGGACAAATCCGTGAAAATGTGCAAAAATCATCAAAATACTGATAATCGGAAGGTACCGTTATATGAGGGCTATACAAAAACGTGGAGCTATAAATACATCGTTCCGCTACAAGAGCTAGAACCGATTATGACCTACAAAAACCAATTTTTTTGGGTGAAAAAATATGGCGAATATCATCAAAATACCGAATATCGGGAAGTACCGTTATATGGGGCTATACTAAAATGTGGACCTATACATAGCTACACGAGCTAGAACCCATTTTTATAATGAATTATAGAACAGGACGATTTTATTACACTACATTTTTAGACCAGATTCACGCCGAGAGTTGGAAAAAAATAATTGGGTTCAAAATTTACATATTTCAGGAAACGCTTTCAAAAAGTTCAAATGTATTTGCAAAATATTTCCGCATTAATTCAAAATACCGAATTTATCAGTATATAAATATCGGTATCTGTCGGTACAGTTTTATGGGGGCTATAACAAAAAGTGGATCTATAAAGCTCATCTTCTCTACCAAAAGTACAGAGTGATTTCCTTTTACGGACAGACAGACTGAATTTTACGCTGATCAAGAATATATTAGAATTAACGCGATATAATAGAATTAACGCGATTTTACTTGTTCTAATTTCAAAAAGTGAAAACGGTTATCAAAACAAAACGGATGTACATGACAATTTTCTGCTTCAGTATTTTGTATCTGTTGTGAACATCAAATAAAAAAATTGAAAACCTTCTGGGAAATAACAGATAAAATCGTCGAGACACGCATTAACTGGAGGTACCGACATGGGTTGCTAGATTTAAATACAGAATTTTAAACAAAATTTTCAGAAATTGTAGCGTAAATTGTTAAAATATTGAGTAACGAGAGGTACCGTTATATGGGAGGTATACTGCTGCTGTATATCTGTACAGAAAATTCCTGCCAGAGGAAAAAATAGTCATTAAAAATACCACATTTCAAACAATTTCATTGGCCACAATCATACAAATTCTGAATATTGTGAGGTACATTTGTAATCGATGCAGAGAGGGGCATATCATTTTCGGAATACACATTAATTACACTTAATGAAATATATAAATGAATCTTAAAATAAATCTAAACAAATTTCAAAGGCTTTCGTGAAATATAAACATGAAGCTTACATTAAATCTAAACTAATTTCAAAGGCTTCCGTGCTCACGAGAGAAACAAAATTTTATCCATGATATTATGGATAAGAAGAAACCGATTTATCACTACAAATTTTTTGTAACTAATTAAACATATACATTAAGCTCAAAAAAACTGAACAATTTTCAATATTTGGTTTACAATATTTTATATGAGTGACAAAAAATATTTCCAAAAATGTATGAAAAGTAGATTGAAAGTCACTTATCGTTTATTACCCATGTTACTATTTTTAATGCTATAAAATATGTTTCCATTATTTCAGATCTCTTACAACACAATACAACAAATGGTCCTTTTAGAAAGCTTGGACGGTTGTACGGGAGTTGCTTACGTCAAGTCGCAGACTCCCCTTCAGTTAAGATACTGCTGAACCAGTTGGGTGGATATTTGCCAATTGGTGCTGTTGGACCCTCCAGTATTTCAGAACTTTTATCCAACATAGATCAATTAGGTCCATCCCCTGTCCTTGATGTATACTTTGATCTAAGTTATGGTAAACGCCCGCATGCTATTCTAATTGTTAGCGCTCCAAGCACATCTTCTCCCATTCTTGAAGTATGTATTAGTTTAAGTTTTTTGAGGATCAATATTGATTTATGTTTCTCTCTAGAATAAAGTAAGGTGGACTGGTCCTAAAGCTCCTCCATTTCGTTTAAAACAAGATCTGCATAAGCTATTACCTGATATATTGGAAACGTTTTTACCAAATGGGCTCTCGGATGAACAACGTGAATCTGAAAATGAGGACATAACTACATTTATAAAGGAGTTAAGCAAGGTAAATAAAGAACACGTGTGTACTGCATATATTTAATAGTTTTAACAGTAATTTGATTATGTTAAGCACTTTTTAAATGCTGTGATATGCGTTGGCGGACAGGAAAAAGTTCGTATGTAAAAAGTAATGAATTTACATGTTTAAAATGAGACCGAAGGTTATGAAAATGAACGAACGTTATGAAAAAGGGAAGTGCTACTCAGAAAAAATGTGTGCAAAAAGATTTTACAACGATCCAATGTAAAAAGTATGGAATAATGTTGAAGGAAGATTACAAACAAATTAAAAACTATATATGTTATTTACTCGAATTAAATGGTTTACTCGCAATAAACATGAAATCTAAAAAGTACTATGTAATTTGTTTTTTTGTTTGTTGCGTTTTTACTTGCCTATTGATTTATAAATTGTGGTGTCTGCCTATAAGAAAGCTACGATTATAACAAGAGAAAGAAGAAGAATAAAGCAACTCGTACTTCACCCAACAGAAAATAAAGTTTAAATTATTCACTTAAAAAGTAAAATTATATAGGGTAAGTGTACCAGTAGTCGCCACTTTTAGATATTCGTATTTTCAATCTTTCAACATTCCGAATGAAACCCTTCAATTGCAGAAAGGTAAAGTTGTTCAGATTCCCAATTTTGTTTATTTTTCGAAGAAATAAACAAAAATTGAATTTGTTTTTATTAAATTGGCAAAATTTTAAATTTTATTAAAATAGTGTTTTTTTGCCAGTAGTCGGCACCATTTTCCAATGCTCGGCATGTCTATTTACCAGTAGTCGGCATATTGTATTTCAGTAGAGAAAATATTATTTTGTATATTATTTTCATTACAAATAGTATAAAACAATTCTATACTACAAATTCACAGTTAAATATAGAATTTAGGAAAATAGTGTTTTATTTAACTGTCATTCTAAACCAAATATAGGTAGAAATTCAAAAATAGTATGGTTACTTCAATAACGCATGGATTTTCAATTAAAATAAAAATTAGATTGAGTAAAAGGAGAAAAAAGTACCATTATTATATTTGGAATTCATTTTGCCTTTTAAGCTAGGTACTGTTTTTAATACATTTTGGCTTAACTTAGGAATAAAATCAGGTAATTCATAGGTGCATCATAGGTGCATATCAGTCCTCATTAAGGATTTTTTTGAAATTTATGTTTAACTTAACAGTTATCACATCCTAAGTTTTTGAGGGGATCGTTTTCCGTACTACTGTCAAGTTCATGGTTGCAAGAACTACATATTTTCATTTTCTTTCATCTTTTATTTTTTTAATTTCTCCAATTTTGCCGTATATTTGTGAATTGATGTTGTTTCTTTAGATAGCCAAAAACGTCAAATAGCTGATTTAAAAAACCTACTTAATTTAGAAATGTTGGTCAAAAAGCACAAATAAAAGCAACTGCCGACTCAAATTTATTTTTTTATTTGAGTAGACTTTGGATTATTTTTTAATACTTTTCTCAAAATTTGCTGAAATTGGTCAAAAATTATATTTTTCTAATAATCAGCGCCCCTGCCAACTACTGGCAAATCTCTTTTTTCCTGTCCCTAATGTTGGCATTAAATAATATAACAGATTAATGCTTGATTTGTATGTTTTTATGTTATAAAATGACCTTTAGACTCTTATTTACTATTATAAAATATTTCTGATTCCAAAAGTATTAAATTTAATTTACTTAAATCGGTTATTAAGTTGACGCCACCACTATTTTTTTCTTTACAAACAAGCACTATCGCACGCATTGGAAGACACTCACTGACGAAAACCGTTATTCTCTCATAATAAATGATCGGAGATCATTGTTTTTTTACAGAAAGAGAGCAGAGAACACTGTTGACTTTTTTTTGCAATTATCTCATTATTTGGTCAATTCTATTCTTAGTTATTTAAGATTAAATTTCAAAACTGCCGACTACTGGGACATGCCGAACTTAGGCGCACTTACCCTATTATGTCTGCAGGACCTTTGGTATTGAAAATAGGCCATGCAGGTCCAAGTGTTGGTATAATCCCCATATAACGGTACCTCCCGATATTCTGTATTTTGATGATTTTAGCGACATTATCCACCGGAATTGTTTCAAATTTGGTATTTGTTCGCAATGGATACTTCAGCATATGACAGGAGATTGTCTGTGCAGGTCCACATCTTCGTACAACCCCCAAATAACGGTACCTCCATATACTTAGTATTTTGTTGATTTTAGCGACTTTATTCATTGGAATTGTTTCAAATTTATTATTTGAAATTCGTAATGGATACTACAGCATATGACAGGAGATTGTCTTTGCAGATCCACGTCTTCGTATAGCCCCCATATAACAGTACCTCCCGATATTCGCTATTTTAATGAGTTTAGCGACATTATTCGGCGGAATTGTTTCAAATTTGGAATTTGAAGTTCGCAATGGATACTATAGCATATGACAAAAGATTGTCTTCGTATAGCCCCCATATAGCGGTACATCCCGATATTTTCTATTTTGATGATTTTAGTGACATTATTTACCGCAATTGTTTTAAATTTGGTATCTAAAGTTCATAATGAATACTACAGCCTAAGACACAAAATTGTCTGGGCAGGTCCACGTATTCGTAATACCTCCCGATATTTTTTACTTTGTTGATTTTAGCGACATTATTCACCGGAATTGTTTCAAATTTGGTATTTGATGTTCGTATTGGATGCTACAGCCTATGGCAGGAGGTTGTGCTCCTATAGCCCCCATATAACGGTACCTCCCAATATTCTGTATTTTGTTGATTTTGGCTACATTATAAATATATATATATGGGAACCTTTTTGTGCCATCTAATAGTTTTTCTTTTCTTTCCATGTAACACTGCCTTTACACAGTGGCATTTTTAACCATGCTTTTTTTTTTTGTTGGTAAAAGGTGTAGAGAAACAAGTATAGAAGAAAAAATGGCACGATAAGCCACCACATAGGGTTACATGCCATTTTCTTTGCATTTCTCTTTTTGCTTCTTTTTGAATTGTATAGTGAAATATATGAAAATTAGTTGGAAGTTTCAAGAAGTAAAAAAAGAAAGTTCAACTATAAGTTAATAATTTTAATAAATAGGCATATTGGCTACTGTTTCACAACATTCTAATAGCCCCAAAACAATGCCGACATCAAGCTCATTACTGAAATCTGAGCTTTTCACTGCAATATTTAACACCTCAATAACTTTTTCCATCATTTCTTCTTTCGATTCACACATTTAATTTTAAGTCACTTCTTTATAAATATCTATTACAAACAATTAGCACAACAATACAGCTCTATACGAAATACTGAATAAAATAAAATGTCAGAAAAAATGCCAAGCACTTATATCGTAAAATACCACCGTGTAAAGGCGCGAAGATTTATATGTATATATATATATATATATATATATATATATATATATATATATATATATATATATATATATATATATATATATATATATATATATATATATATATTATATATATATATATATATATAATATATATATATATATATATATATATATATATATATATATATATATATATATATATATATATATATATATATATATATATATATATATATATATATATATATATATATACATATATATATACATATATATATATATATATATATTATATATATATATATATATTCAACATATTTCTGTTGCTGCAAAAATATTTTGAATATATATAATTCACAGTTTGATCAAGATTAATTTGGCTTTTAAATAGTGTTTATTTAATTATCCTTCTAAACCAAATACAGGTAGAAAATCAAGAATAGTATGGTTACCTTCATATGGATTTTCAATATATTTTATTATATTTGGAGTTTGTGAATTCATATATTTCCTTTAGATAGCAAACATTTTTTGTTAAATGCCACCGCTATCTAAACGTCAAATAATTGATTCAAAAACCTACTTAATTTAGAATAGTTGATCAAAAAGCACAAATAAAAGGAACTGCCGACTCAAGACTATTTCTTTATTAAGTAGTTTTTGGATTATTATTTTCTCAAGTTTTGGTAAAATTGATCAAAAATGATATTTTTCTAGTAATCGGCACCTCCTGCCGACTACTGGCAAATCTCTTTTTTTCTGTTCCTAATGTCGGCATTAAATAATATAACAGATTAATACTTGATTTGTATGTTTTTATGTTATAAAATGACCTTTAGACTCTTATTTACTATTATAAAAATTTCTGATTCCAAAAGTATTAAATTTAATTTACTTAAATCGGTTATTAAGTTGACGCCACCACTATTTTTTTCTTTACAAACAAGCACTATCGCACGTGTTGGAAGACACTAACTGACAAAAACCGTTATTCTTTCGTAATGCATGTAATTGAAAGAAAAAACCAACAACACCAAATTACAAAATCAAACAGAACTTGGCTTGCCTATGAGTGTGTGATGTGTGTAACCGTCAAAGAATCGAGTGTGTTTGGTGTTTTGTTCTTGTTTTTGTGACGCATTCTTCTACAAGAAGGTCACCATAGGCCAATTAAGATCTTGCCGGTTGCTTTGCTATTTATTGATGCGACGCATTCATCCAGAAACATATCTGTTTCTAACTTTAATTTAATTCGTGGCGAGTTTTTCTTTCCATGTCATGCAAATGCAACAACAAGCTAGAAACAGGTTTGTTGCGATATTTGTAAATTGATATTAAACATAAATTTTGTAACATGTATATATTATTATTTTTTTTATGAAATAAAATTGGTTTACCAATTCATTTAAAAATTGATTTTTCTTATTAATAGCATTATATTAAGTGTAAGTATACAAATACATCTAAAAATATATTTATTTACATTTAAGTATATATATATACTTCGATACGAGCATATATATGCTTAATTCCAAGCATTTTTTACTTATATCTAAGCATATATTTACTTGAATCCAAGCATATGTATGTTTGTATTGAATTATATGTATGTTTACATCCAAAT